TGGCCAGGTAATCTGGAAGGTAGAAACCCTGACCACCACCGTGTGTGATGCGGACCCCTTCTACTTCCCTGCAGACACCATGGAATGCAACATCTGCTTTGTTGCATTTTCTGCAATCATCGGTATGAAATTGGAAGTATTTGATAAAAAGATGTCGATATCAAAATAGATTTTATGAATATAGTTCAATAGATGAAAAATGATGTAAATGAAATACAATATTTCATCGGAGCGATCCGACCACTGTTTGCCACGGATACCATTCCTTGAGCATCCCGGTCACTGTCTACATCTTACTATATTCCAGGAATATTTTGGTCACTGTTTACAAATGATGATAATAATGATGATGATATTTCAGTGATTATATTATGGTTTTGTTATGGGTTCTTTCCCATATACAATGTAAAAATTAAGGAAATCGGATTCTTGTCAGTATACAATCTGATTTTGTCTGCATACTTTTTGGCTACCCTTGTCATGAAAAAGTTATTTTTTTTGCTGATAGTTTGTTGCAATGATTTGTCGAACACAGAATGCCAAGATGGCAGTCCCTGTGGTGTCCTGTCTAACCAACAACTGGAGGGCGAATGGTATCGGAAGGACATGATCTTCGCAAAAGACAAGACGGAGGCATGCTTCACTGTTCAGCTGGAGAGGATCCCGCTGTTCCACATCGCCACTACTGTTGGACCCTGTGTCATCCTCGTGGCGCTGATGGTCATCACATTCGTCATGCCACTGGACAGGGGGGACCGGATCTCGTTCGGAGTGACCATTCAACTCTCCGTGGTCGTGTCTCTCGTGTTCGTGACGGATGTGCTACCTGTCAAGGGGGCGCTGCCATTTTTCGGTGAGTAAACATATAGATGCGACCATGTTGTAAATGTTTTCCTTAGTTTAGAATTTTAAACTACTTGGAAACTAAAATACCTTCTTGATTCCATTCATCTGGTTTTCTGCCACTTGTGCATTTCAACCCAATTACGTAGAATGTATCTTGGCGACATTAAGTAAACCCTTAGATACCTTCCTCGTGGCCAGGCCGGACTCCGTTGTGAAAAAAAAAAAGTAAGCGAAAATCAATGGGTAATTCTTGAAACCTAAAACTTTATCTTCTTACAGACACTAATTCTGAATTAATAGGCATTTACAACGATGATAACGGGATAGTTTTCTGTTTGCTACGGTGATCATCTGTATCTTAACACTGAGTAATTTAATGTGAACAAGTAGTGTCCGTCCATCTATAAGTAGTGGTTCGAGAGCGGGTGTAGTCTTAGCAAAACAGATTTACAGTCCTCATTGGATTTCATTAGTATTTTGTGATTAGGTTGCTTAGGGTAACTGTTAACCGTGATAAATATTCCCGGAAAATGTCGATAACTGTTAACCACGGATGCTGTTACAGCCTCGCTGATCGTCGTGTGCATGGCGCTGATGGGACTTTTCCTCTTCTTCACCATGGCCATCATCACCATTCATGACAGGCAGGGGAGCCTGTCTCCAATGGCGAAGACCTTCTTTCTCCGTTACATGGCAAAGTATGTACTATAATTCGTAACACTAGCTCAGGTTAGACGGAATAGAAATGTACAGAAAAAGACAAATGCCCTTCAAGTGAAACTCATATACATCTTTATTGTTGTTTCGTTTTTAAGTTATAAGGAGGTTTATTAGGCCCTTTTACATGTTTGGGCTGATATGAATTTAACGTACCAGGAAAGATTCGTTATCTATTTTTATACGATGGAATAAAATTAGCAACTTAATACTTTAAAAAAAATTATCTGCATTTGTTACCCTTCCAAGCTGCGAATTACCATGTATTTTAGGCTCTTTTCTTTGTAGATTTTGTATTTTTCTTTGTAGATTATGATTCTTTGTAGATTCAGTCTGATTTTGAAAGTATCAACCTTGGTAACATTTTAACATTTTATTCATTACTTCTATTTTGAACATGAAGTAATCTGAACGTTTGGACATGCCTATTGATATACGAGTGAACGTATGTATCAGAAAGAAACATTGACATCATTTTTTCTTGGTGGTGTTTGTTAAGGTGCCTACTGCTCGGAGATCTGACAGAGAAGAAGGTTGCAAGCGACGATGGAGAGACTGGTCCCAGCAGCAGGAAGCTGGCCTGGCCTGAGCGGACCAACCGCGTCTCTCCTGCCGATGCCCCGGCCGTGGTCGACGTGCAAAGCCCGGCTGTTGTCCGCGAGACTGCCCGTCAGCCGTCCGAGCCGCCCACGCGCCTGGAGGCCGCGGTCTCACGCCTGGAGGTTGCCATGTCCTCCGCCTCCCGTAACATGGAGGAGCTGGCCGAGGCCATGAAGAACGAGCAGGAGGTGTCAGACTACACCCTGCTGGCCAAGGTCCTGGACAGGCTCTGCCTTGTCATGTACGTCATCAGCATTGCCGTGGCCGTGCCCATGACCATGTATCTGGGCAAGTAAATTACACTTGTGTAAACGTGCCTTAACACAACCAAAAAAAAAGTGCGACTTGATTGTTATGCTTTGATTCAGCTTTAAGTAACATGCATGTGCAGCCAGGACACGCCCTTACAAGGGCTGTAGTTCTTTGAGAACTTTAGTAAGGTAGTAACCCCACTGGTGGAACAAACAAACTAAATTTGCATCTTTAGTATGATCAATACCATACGAAGGTGAATGTGTGCAATGGAGCTTATAGCTCCTATGGAGCATATAAAGCAGACAACATATATATCTAACCAGGAAAGACTTGTGGTGTACTATTAGATAGTGAGTCGCCTTCTTGGCGGTATCTTGCACCTCATATCTTAGATCGCATATTTTATCTTTAAACTCTAGGTTCATCAAACTCTTCAAACAAATGATATGTCCGTGACACTTAGTCTTTGTAAGTATAGGTTCCCTGTGTAAACAGACATGAACACATCTTTTATCTATTCATACCTTCTTCTGTTATCTATTCACCCAGAGGACATTTATACACAGCCGGAGCTAACGAACTAATCAGATAGGGTTAGTCTTGAGACCAATGGAGAACAACCGGAAAAGAGAAATTGTCCAGCTGTTACATGTAGACTGCTTTTTCTTGATCTGTAAAGAATTTTGCGTTAGGATAACAAGTAGCTTTTGTGTAATTATAGTAATTATGACCATGAATGTGTGTTTATCTCATATTCGTATAATTTGTATATGACGCCTATTATACTAATATGAGATCTATATCATATATGTATTATTTTATCATGTTTCTGCATGCAACAGTGTAAGTCAGTCAGCCTGGATCCCATATGGACATTATAGCGATAAGAACTGTGGTTAACAATGAACTAAGAATACAACTTGTATGTGGGGATTCGGGTTTATCTGAGCTTTTTTGCATATGTTAAAAAGCGTGAGTTTTTCAATAAAAGGTAACGCTAAAATTGAGTGAATTTGATTAATTTTTTACGTTGTTGCATAAATCTAGCTTGGTGCTAACATAGACCTTCGGACTGATTCTTTTTCATTACTTAAAGAGTGTTATCCAACCTCAATGACACAGTTCGCTATCCCAGAAAGAGTATTAAAGTCTACCGGCCAAGATTACTTACCTGTCACTGGAGTGGGTGGCTGGACAGTTCTCAAAAAAGAATTGAATAAAACGCTTGTTTTTAAAAATAGCAATAAAAAGGACCAAAAGGAAAAAAAAGAACATTATTATTTTATTGACATAGCAATAATAACTAACTTTTAGGTAAAAACAGATAAAGTTTAAAAAAAAAACATCCCTGAAATCCTAACTTTGTGATTAGAAAATTTCAAGGCCATGTTTAGATGCACGAGGAATCATGCCTATTTAGCTTATAGTAAATTTCAATAGCGAATAAATAACGGGAATGAAGGTAAGCAGCATGGCTATTGGTTCTTGATTCGCATACCATATTTATGAGTCACCCAGGGCCACAATATTGTGAACAGCTTTTGTCGGGAAATGCCCCCCCCCCAAAAAAAAAGCCTGTATAAAAAAAAAAAACGCTTGAAGCAATTTGTCCACCATACTTCCATACTGAGGTCATTTAGTCCCAAAATGAAGAAACTGAATTTTTTTAAAGAAATGGCAGGAGCAAAAGAGGGAGGAGAAGGAGAAGAAACACGAGGATAGACAACATGTCTTCATCGCACCACAATGCGGTGTTGGAGAAATTTCTTTCAGTAATATAAGTTGATGGCGAAATGACGACGATTTAATCAATGAATCAATGAATCAATGAATCAATGAATCAATGAATCAATGAATCAATGAATCAATGAATCAATGAATCAATGAATCAATCAATGAATCAATGAATCAATCAATCAATCAATGAATCAATGAATCAATCAATTAATCAATCATTCAATCAACAAATCAATCAACCAATCAATTAATTTAAATGGTTCATGTTGAAGATATGGCGGGAGTGAGGTGTGGACGCGTTCGCCCGGTCTCTTTAGCGCAGCAGCCATCCAGAGGTCAGAGGTCGCCGCTTGTACGTCAGGAACTACGCCTGGGCCCAGCTGATGACGTCACCTAGCAACGCCGGTCGCGAGGCGTTTTGCGTTCTTGACGACAAGTCCGTGCAGTACGAGGAGTCGGTGTACAGCAAAATATACGCCCCTATCGGAATCCGTTGGAACGACAGCCTGCCCCTTCCCTTAACAGTTATATATTACTAGTTTGAAAACTACACTAGTCTCTTCAGGTGTTGCATTTGCGTAGAAATATAAAATTGACAAAGTACTCAAAGAAAAGTACTTTGAAAACTTACAGCATCGTCTCTATCATATGTCAAGTCATAATCAATTCCGTAGTGGATTATTGCAACATTCCGTGGAGGTGGAGCTGATGCAGATAATTCAATTAACTCATTCGACAAGAACCTATGAGGAAGAAGAAACACATCTGCCACCCCTGCCACACAGTATAGTTTCCATTGAAACAGCAAAAAAAATCAAGACTATTGTAAAAGCTTGTATGAAAAAAAAAGGAAAAAAGGCCCCAAAATGAAGGAGTTTTTAAATCAATTTAAAGAAATGGCAGGAGAAGAAGAAGAAGAATCATGACTGAATGAAAACAATATTTCACTCCATACTATAGTATAGAGTAAAATGATAAAGATTATGTGACGTTTGTAGTAGTACATTACTACTGTTTGTCATAAGACATTGCTACATTGCATTACATTACAGCACTTACATGTGCTGCTCAGAGTAACTCATATAAGTTTTAGCGCTGTTCTGTAAATATCTATTTCTGATAATTCTTTGTACATGTATATGTTACATTTCTCAATCTGTAGGTTGCCTTTTTTGTTGTACCTTGCTTTGTCTCCTGCGATTTTTTTTCCAAACATTGTTACATTTCGTCTCTCATTCCAGAAGCCAAGGCCAGCTTTTTCCAAAGCACCTGTTTTTCAATTGCCCTCCCCACTTTTTCATGCCTCTTTACGCCCAGGAAAAAATTGTGCATTGCCTGTTTCGTTCCTGTTGGCAGGTAAGGTTATCTTAAAATTTGGCAGTTGGTGTGTTTATATATAAACAGTTTTCTACTGCATCAGGAAATGTATTATGAGCTGAACATGTTGACAAACCAATTGTACAAGTGCTAGAAAAGTGAATTAGCTTGAAAATGTGTCCCTTGCCTGCCTAGCTTAGGTTTTGGTTCAGATTTTTAAATACATAATGGATATATATGATGAAGGATTGGCTTAGGCTCAACATGACCTGTATAACAATAATTTTCTACATAAAATTGATGAATATAAAATCACTTTAAGAGCATTGGAACATCCATCTGGATATAGATTCTCCATTGACTATAAGGTTTAGCAGCAGAGAGAGGCGAAGTACTTTGTAAATGTTAATGCAAATGTTAACGTAAATGTTGTTTTCTGGTTGTTAAGTGTTTAATGACTATAAATATACTTTTCACGTTCTTGTCTGTTTTGTCTGCCTCTACAATAATTTGGACAAGGGTTTAAAAATTATACATGTCCAACCTCAGTCTACTGCGCTGACGCAATCATATCTAAAAAATCTTATTCCAGTATAAATTTTCTAAGCACCATAAGATAAGATAAGACGAAAACATGTAAATATGCAACTTGAGACCTGCAGAATGATACACATTTCAAAGTACCATTTATGTTGTTCAAAAGGCCAGCTTCAGACAATCAACTCCACCATTTACGTAACTACTAAGACCAATCCCGGGTTGTTTGTCAAACGACATTGCGGATCAGCTACCGAAGGAGGCTGACACGCACGACAAAATAAAAACAGCAACCAGTTTTCGAGTTCCAGTCCAGAAATTAGCAACTAAAGCGATTCTGACTACATTAAAAGGTAGGCATCTGCTGGTGGATAAACAATTATTTGAGGTAAAATACTTTGTAGCGGTTTGTCACTGGCCTACGCCCAGAGGCAAGCAATCAGCGGTTGATTCTCCAAGAAGATGTGACGGTGCACGGTTTGCCGTTTTTTGGACCGTCGGTTGACAGCCGCCAGAGAAGTCTGGACGTCAGAAAATGTCTCAATTTTCATATAAATATCTGCTTGGATTTTTGGTCGGGTGAAACGGGGTTGCTGCACCACGATCGTTTTATGTTGTGGCCGGGGTCAAACTGCACGGTTTAATGCCAAAAGCAACGCAATGAGGAAGCACTCCCCACTGTGGCCTTTACAGCAGCCTCAATAGTGAATTCGCCCTCTTAACTACATCAACTCATAAACATGCCAGACTGTCTCTGCCCCAGAAATAGAAGGAATTTACCGATTAGCATGATATTGGTCACATTTTTCGAACAGATTCAAATATTTTTCTCCACTCTCTTTTAAAATAACAGTATCAAACCGTGCAGAATAATCAGAATATTTGTAACTAAGTCACATAATGGAAAAAAAATATTAAAGGTAACTTTCAAATTCTCGAAAACCAACCTTAAGATCAAATTCCAAATTAATTCATTCTGCCCTCCCAGAGTTTTATCAAAGTGTCTTACTGCATGTGTCTATTTTTGGACGTCAAAAATGTCAATATTTCAAATGAATTAGCTCGGACATTTAGTGTGTCCGGCACACCTTGTTTTAGAATGAGAATTAAAAACCTAGTGCTTAAGCAGCTATGGTGTTAGAGGTGTCCAACAAAAATACATGCACATTCCTTGCCATGAAATGTTTTTGAGGATAGATGCATATCTCATGATAAAGATTGCTACGTTCTTGTGGCGAGCTAGGAGGGCACTAGATCATATGTTAAATTGCAGCACTTTATTGAAGTATTACTTTAATTGTAAACATTAAACTTAGACGTCTAAAGAGAGACAAAGGGGTATGTAAAGTTTTAAATGTAGGTCGCAAAGTTGTTAGCGTTGTTGCATAGGGGCTTACCATTTCCCGAAAGATAACTGAAATCAAATATTCGGTGAAAGTCCCTTGTGGTTTAATTTGTATAAATAGTATGAAAGTTCATATAATGTTTCTTAACAAAAGTAAATACATAGTTTGAAGTAGCAGTTAATGTTTTGTTTTCTAACCATTTCAAAGTTAGTAATTTCCAAAGGATGAATGTTTTCCATTTAGCGTAAAGTTTGCAGGTGATAAAATTGCAAATAAAGCAGCTCTAATGCTTAAATGTAGAATTTTCAAATATACCAGTGACCAATCCGCTATATGTATACATTTTGAAAGTAGCTTATTAAAATTATGCATCACTAGACCTGCAT